TGAGTCAGGCTCGGTGGCTCAGCCTGTAATCCCGCACCTTTGGAAGGCTGAGGTGAGTGGATTGCCTGAGCCCGCGGGTTCGAGACCTGCCTAGGCAACTTGGTGAGACTCCATCTCCACAGTAAACCAAAAAATCAGCCGGGTGTGGTAGTGCACGCCTGTAGTTCCAGCTACTCGGAAGGCTGAGGCGGAAGGATCGCCGGAGCCCAGCAGGTCGAGGCTGCAGTGGCCGGGAACGGGAACCGAGTGAGACTCCAACTCAAAAAAATAAAATAAAATAAAATAATGACCACCTCTCAGCCTCACCTACATAATATAAAGAATGTTAATGACGAGTTCTCCAAATTTTGCCTTCAGCCAGACCTTTCTTCAGAGCTGCGCACTCACTTTTCCAGCAAAGACTTGATTAGTTCAAAGCGGTGCTAGCCACACATCTCAGTCCCCTACAGACCTTACCTGTCCTTCCTGGTCTGGCTTACCATAAACGCAACACCCAGAAGCCCCAACTCAGCAACTACTTCCCTGCTGAGATCTGGCAATGTGCCAAACACCAGACTGAGCTCGTCACATTCACCACCTCTCTGAATTCTGTAACCCATAGGGGGGGACCCCACAATCACCGTTCCGGTGAGAAACCGGAGGAAACAGCACGCTTACACACCCCACCAGGAAATGCATCTTTTCAGCACTCTTCCACCAAGTCTTCTCCATTCTCTCTGCACTCAACTCCACCACCACAGTCTCGCTTCAAGCCCGTCATCTTTCACATAAGAGAAAGGGGGTGTCTGGAATCAGCTGGGCTTAGGACGGAATCCCTGCAGCACCACCTCATAGCCACGGGACCTCAGTTCCTCTCCTGACCTCTCTCAGTGGTAGTTTCCTCGCCTGTTTGTGAAACAGGGATACTGAAACCTGTCACAGCAGAGTGTGCGAAGACAAGAGACAACGACCATGCCACATGGCAGGTATTCGTAGCAGCTGTCATTCCAGGGCTCTCTTTGCCTCCACTAAGTTCACCTTCTAATCTACCCTCCGTCGTTCTTCTCTGAATGCAGGTGGGATCAGAAATCCTTCAGCGGCTTCCTACCACCTTGGACAGCATCTCTGTATGAGACAGGACCCCCAGCAGCATGGAAATGGCTTAAGTGTCAAGAGGACATAATGACTTCACACAATAATGGCTGACCAGCCCCACTATACTAGCAGGAAAAAAAATCCAAAAATGAAATTCTAAAAACTCCTTTTACAACAGCATTAAAAACCATAAATACTGAGAAATAAATTCAACAAAAGACGTATGAGAGGGGACCCCAAACACCCCAGAATTTATTTATAAAAAGTAGTGCATTTCTTCCTGCCTGTTGAGACTTCAGTCACCTAAAGTACTCTTTCCCCGATGCACCATGCCTAGCAAGACTCTTTCCCGTGGAGGACTTACTTTCATCCGGGGAGACCAAAAGAGTTGCGGGGCTGAAATCGGGTGACTAGGGAGCGTGGGGCACGGGAGCCATGCCGCTTTTGGTCAAGACTGCTGAACACTGGTAAGTCAACCACCATGAAACGGGTGAGCATGCTGAAGGACTCTCCAGAAACATTCACTGAAGCCAAACGCAGCCTCTCACAGCAAAGCTAGCTGGCACACTGACACCAATGGGTTTCTAGCACACTTACCTAGTAGGGGAAGTCTGTACTACAAGGGGCCTGCCCTCCAAAAACCAATTCCCGATTTTTGGGGGTCCCCCTGTATAGCAACTCTATATACATTCAATGCAACCCCAACAGGGCTTTCTGTGAAAAAAAAAAAAAAGCCATCACTAGGCGTGGCGGCTCATGCCTATAATCCTAGCACTTTGGGAGGCAGAGGCAAGAGAACTGCCTGAGTCCAGGGGTTCGAAACCAGCCTGGGCAATTTGATGAGATCTCATCTCTACAATAAATCAAAAAATTAGCTGGGTGTGATGGCACATGCCTGTGGTTCCAACTACTAGGAAGGCTGAGGCAGAAGGATCACCTGAGCCCAGCAGGTCAAGGCTGAGGTGGCCATGAGCGTGCCACTGCTCTCCAGCCTGGGCAACAGTGAGACTCTGACTCAAAAATAAATAAATAAGCCAATTCTCCATTTTATATGAAAATGCAAAGACCCTAGTGCAGCTAATGCAATCAGGTGCGGTGGTTCAAGACTATAATCCCAGCACTTTGGGAGGCCAAGACGAGAGGATTGCCGGAGCTCAGGGATTCGAGACCAGCCTGGGTAACTCGATGAGACCACGTCTCTACAATAAATCAAAAAATTAGACAGGCGTGGTAGCACCCACCTGTACTTCCAGCTACTTGGGAGGCTGAGCGACTAAACTATAGAAAAATAAATGAACTTCTACCCTACCTCATATAGAATACAAAATTGATTTGAAGTAGAGCATAGATCTAAATTAAAAATCTACTTTTTAAATGCCAGAACAACTATAAAGCTTCTAGAAGACCCTTTGGAAGTATCTGTGATCTTGGAGTAGGGAAAGATTTCTGAGAGAAGACAAAAACAATAACTACTAAGAAAAGAATAAATTAGACTTCATAAAAATTAAGACTTCTGCTTTTCAAAAAAGTTAGGAAACTGAAAACCGCCAACTGGGAGGAAATATGTACAATACAAATATCTGACAAAGAACTTGTATAGAGAATACATAAAGAGCTCTTCCAACTCAGTAAAAAGAAGACAAACAACAAAACTTTAAAAACAGGCAAAGATCCCCCAAGTTACACTGTACGATTTCATTTACGTAACCATGTTTTTTCAGTCAGGGTCTCTCTCTGTTGCCACTCTGTTGTTACAGGCATGAGCCACCACACACTGCTAATTTATGTTAACAATCTTGAAATGACAAAACTTTGGAAATGGAGAACAACAGATTCATGGTTGCCAAGGGTGAAGAGGGCGGAAGGGGAGGGAAGTGGGCCTGGTCACAAAGGAGCAACTGAAGGGGACTGTCCGATAATGGAAAGTGCAGAACTTGGTGGTAGTGGTAGACGAATGAATCTGTGTGAAATTGTAGAGAACTAAATCCACAAGCAAGTAAAACTATCTTTACCAATAAAATCAGCGGGTTTACCAATGTCAATATCCTGTTTGTGATATTAGACTAATTTCTGTAAAGGTTGCCATTGGGAGAAACTGGATAATGTATACAGGAGCTCTCTCAGCATTATTTCTCACAACTGCAGGTGTATCTAAAATTACTCGATAAACAATTTCATTTTAAAAAGGAGGGCCAGGCTCAGTGGCTCACACCTATAATCCTAGCACTTGGGAGGCCATAGTGAGAGGATTGCCAGAGTCCATGGGTTCAAGACCAGCCTGGGCAACTTGGTGAGACCTCACCTCTACAATAAATAAAATTTAAAAAAAAAATTAGCTGAGCATGGTGGCACATGCCTGTAGTTCCAGCTACTTGGAAGACTGAGATGGAAGCTTCACCTGAGCCCAGCAGGTCGAGGCAGTGGCCATGAGCTTGCCGCTGCACTCCAGCCTGGGAGACAGAGTGAGACGCCAAAAAAAGGGGCAAAAAATTTGAAAAAATATGTCAAGATTTTCTGATGGCAAATAAACACAAGAAACAAGAAACAAACACTGATACATTTACAGATGGAAATCAACTCAGCAATAAAAAAGAATGATACACACTAGCTATATACAGATTAATTTCATATAGAAAAAAATTAAGCTGGGCTCGGTGGCTCAGCCTGTAATCCCGTGCCTTTGGGAGGCTGAGGTGAGTGGATTGCCTGGGCCCGCGGGTTCGAGACCCGCCTAGGCAGCGAGACTTCATCTCTACAATAAATCAAAAAATTAGCTGGGCGTGGTAGCGTGCGCCTGTAGTTCCAGCTACTTGGAAGGGTGAGGCGGAAGGATTGCCAGAGCCCAGCAGGTCGAGGCTGCGGTGGCCGGGAGCGGCCACTGCACTCCAGTCTGGGCAACAGAGTGAGACTCCAACTCAAAAAAAATTAAGACAAACACAAAATACTACATACAGTACAATCTCATTTAGATCAAATTAAACAACAAGCAAAACAAACCTAAAGGGATAAAAATCAAAACAGTGACTGATGATGGGGGTGGGCATGAGAGCATTTTTATAAGTATTGAGTATCTTCTAGAGGCTTTCATTACGTAAGTACTGAGCAGTTAGATAACCTGAGAAGCCTGGCCTCTGGTTAATTTCCAGGTAAATGGCTCCACAATCATTCCTTTTCAACTCTCAGTAGCCAATAACATCAGCCACAAAGTCACTAACTTACACTAGCTTGTCAACTTTCTAATTCTGGTAATAGAACAAGGTAATGCATAAAAATGGCTAAATGTTTAGTACACAAATATTAGCTTCCCTTCCTTTATATGGGAATTTGGCAAGGAAAGAGAAGTTTCTATAGATGGAGATGATATCGTTATGAGTACTGAGAGATATGTAGGAATTCACTAAGTGTTAAAAAGAGGGTCATATTTAAAGGATTAGTACATTGCATAGAATACTAAGTCATGAAATAACCTGGCATTTTCAGAGAATTGCAAGCATTTGGTTTGGCAATAATCTGCATATCTTTTTTTTTTTTTTTGAGAATGAGGCCTCACTCTGTAGCCCAGACTGGAGTGCAGTGACATGATCACGGCTCACTGCCACCTCGAGCTCTTGGGCTCACGTGATTCTCCTCCCTCAGCCTCCCAAGTAGCTAGGGCTACTGGGACAAGCCACCACACCCAACTAATTTTTCTATTTTTTGTAGAGATGGGGTCTCGCTTTGTTGCCCAGGCTGGTCTCGAACTCCTAGCCTCAAGTAGTCCTCCCAGCGTGACCTCCCAAAGTGCTGGGATCAGAGGTATGAGCCACCACACCTGCCTGTTTGTTTTTTTAATAATGACTTTCAAAAGAACAATCCTAAAATATGTCTGGTTGCGACTCTTTCAAGAAAAAAAAACAAATACATTAAGATGTTCCTTTTGAACTCACCTGTATTCTTTCTTGCCCTGTGGCAGAAACAAACCCTGAAGTTCTACCACAAAGTCCTCATGCAATAAACAATGAGAAACAGGAATGCTAGAGACAAAATGGAAAACATTTTCCTGTTAGAGGCAAGAAACAGAGATCAACATCCTACAGTCAAATCAAAACTATGGGTTTTAAACCAAGAACCTGTGCATGACCTCCACTGGGTTTGTAATTCCCATACATTGTAACACCTATATGCGTTCCTCTGGGGACAGTCCCGAGAGTTCATCTTTTTCACTCCCTCAAATAAAGTACAGCAATACATACATCCTTCTTGACAACTCAAGTTTAAAACTACACTGTGCTATGTAGCCTGTACACTGTGATACCCTCAGGAATGAAGTATACGAGGTTGGCTGTGAGGCCCTGCATGAATCTTCCTGTATTTTAATAACCTGTGAGCTGTCACTTGGCGTGATTCCCATGCCTACCAACACACTCAATAATTTGCTTCTTGCTTGGCATAAGTTTTTTAACCACTCCCTCCCAACTTCTTATTATGAAAAAACTTAAATATGTGTAAGAAAAAGTAAAAACAGAGCCGGGCTCGGTGGCTCAGCCTGCAATCCCGCGCCTTTGGGAGGCTGAGGTGAGTGGATTGCCTGAGCCCGCGGGTTTGAGACCTGCCTGGGCAGCGAGACCTCATCTCCACAAAAAAATCAAAAAATCAGCCGGGCGTGGTAGCGCATGCCTGTAATTCAGGCTACTCGGAAGGCTGAGGCGGAAGGATCGCCGGAGCCCAGCAGGTCGAGGCTGCGGTGGCCGGGAGCGGCCACTGCACTCCAGTCTGGGCGACCGAGTGAGACTCCAACTCAAAAAAAAAAAAAAGAAAAAGTAAAAACAGGCTTGAGTGAAGGTCTAAAGTACTCTCCTATGACTTGTGGCACATTTTTGGGCCTATATTCTGGTTATCAGACATATTTCAAATAAATCAAGTTTATGAAATAATTGTCTTCAAGCATATTATACTAATTTGTACAGCAATACATTTGTATAAATGGAACTCTAAAGAGCATGTTTCTCTCAATGTAAAGCCCAATCTCATGCAACATTAATGCTTAGTTCCTGCAAACCCAAGCAGGCTTGTGTCTCACAGAACTTGGCCTGGGTACTGTATCTGAGAGACTCAGTATGTTTAGAAACCAGAAATGGTGAACCCTGATATGATGACAATCTGTTGACCCAGATAGCTTGAGTATTTTTGATGGGTCCCCTCTAACTTAAAATTTGATACTCCAGATCATTTTGTATTTAGTTAAACTGGATCCCGGTGATTTCTTTCAAATTAAAAAAAACCTTAGAGGCTAAGAAAATGTTTTCTATAAAAATGTATTTCCTAAATCCGAAAAAGGGATGCAAGGTCTTTTACTTACTTTCAAAGCAAAACAGAGAAATAAACCATCTAACTCATGAGAGGGAAATATAAGAAGTTAACATACACGTTGACAGGACACTTTTCTAGTACTAATATCCATTATGATATGGAGAAAAATACTTTTCTCTATCAAGTTCATCTGAATAGCGAGCAGAAAAAAAAATGTTCAACGATAGATAGCTTTAAATTCACACGGAGACGGCAGACATTTGGTGTTGTGAAAACATCCGCACTTGATGAGAAGGCATTAACTTTTCTCACTTTAGAGAAGATGCTTAACGTTTCTGGGTCTTAGCTTTCAAGTCTGTAAAACCAGAGCGCAAAATCTGATGTTTCTTCCAGGGCTAATCCCAAAAGCAACATTTCGGTTTTTAGATGATCAATCTCACCAATTCAGATACAACCTTTTTTTTTTCTTTTCAGGGCAAACACTCTAACCATTAGCTTTACCCCCAAACATTTAAAAACCAGCGGGTCCCCAAATAGTACACAACAGGGGAAAATTGCATTCCACCACGCCTGTTGAGCGCTTTCACTCCTTCAAGGGGGGGATGGTTACGGCCTGACAGGTCAACAGAAACCCGGAGCGGGGGAACACCGGCCGGACCCCGCTGCAGCGGGACCCTCACTTCGCCGGCGAGGCCTCGGCGGCCCACGGGCGGGAAGCGGTCGTCCCCGGGGCACGCGGCCAGAGCGTGCGGGGCGTCTCCCGAACGCGCCCCGCCAGCCTGGGACCACCGGCACCG